AAATGTGGATTTAGTGAATAATTAAATATAATTATCTGTGAGGGAAAAATATGTATATATATATATATATATGTATGTAAATATATATGCGATTCCCTATCAGGTTCCAAATTAACGTATGTAACGATCGGGAGAACCTGGGCTGGGCCCGTTTAGCCGCGGGAGAAGCGCTCCAACAGCTGTGGGAATGCGCACAACACAAAACACAAACCACCTCTTTATTAGTACAATCTCAGACAAATCAAAGAAAGCAAACAACAAACTAACCCCGCAATCGCCCGGCAGCAGCTCCAAGCTGCCACCGAACACGCACAACAAATTCAAGCGGCACTTTTTGATTCCACAAAAAGAGTTACAATTACATTTCTATTCACTGCATTAAATATCACGGAGAGGGGAACTCGAGTCACGAGGCGGAACAATTGCATATCATGGGAACCGAAGGACAACTGGGCAAGGCGAAGGGGGTTTAGTCTCCATCTTCGTTTCCTTGCTACTCACTCCTTCTTCCTTTTTTGCAACATGTAAGCACTGAATAAAATCTGAGCCACTGCAGTGTATCCACAAGTAACTTTCAGAACACTTTTGCATATTCATTCTCAAATACGACTGCCCACAGATGATTCAAAATAAACCAATTCTGGAAGGAAATCCAAACACTTACGCAACGAACCTTTCAAAACTGTGCAATCGACGTCTGGGCTTGTCTTCAGCCCCAGTATAACTGCATTCCCCAACCAACCAGAATTTTCGCCTCTCCCGAATTTTGGGTCTTCGCGACTCAAACCAGCACTACACCTCCCACTCATTATCACCACCCTCTACCCAGTGCATAGGGGAACGTTACCCAGCCGTCTGCGTCACTACCCCAAGCAGCCGGCAAGCGGCACGCATGGTAGCATTAGTGTCTTACTGGCAGAGAAACGAGCATGTCTCATAAAAGTAGCCGAGCACTATTGAACCGAGTTTTAGGAGTTTCTGTAGATTTGCTTCCGGGGAAGGAGGGGCATGGTTCTTGTCTCGCGGGTTTTCAGGGTTTGGGTGGCAACTGGGTGTCTTTTGAGTGTGCGTTTGTCCTTGCGGTGTGGTGGTTGTGGAGTTCCTGTGCACACACAAACACACACACACACACTGAAAATGGCTGTGAGTGTTGTGTTCAGCACGTTATTGGCGCCGAGTGGAAGTTTGCTGGGATTCGGATTGGTGACCGGAAAGTGGTAGAAGTTGCCTGTACATTGCACGCCCAGGTCTCATAGGTCATTCGCGCAACTGGTCATACCTGCCTGTTTGTTACTTCGACCAATACGCGATGGCTGCAGCAATTGGGCAC